ATAGAGGGGTTGTCATACGAGGAAAGGTTGAAATATCTCAGATTGTTTTTTCTTGAAAAAATAAGAGTTAGGGCCTATCTGACTGAGGTTTTTAACATTGTAAAGGTTATTGATAGTGTTGATGCATCATCTTTTTTCATATTTAATAGTGAGAATAGTAGGACTAAGGAGCACAAATATAAATTTTGGCAGGGTAGGAGTCGTGTTCAGCTAAGACAGTTTTATTTTTCTAACAGAGTGGTTGGCCTTTGGAATGGATTGTCTCTGGCTGTTCTGGAGGCAGTACATTTAAGTGAGTTCAAGAAAAAGTTTGATAAATGTATGAATGATAAGGGCTGGCTTTGAGATTTTTATAATTTATATGTTAATAGTTTTAGTTTAGTTTAGAAGATGGAACAGACGAGATGGACCAATCAGTCCCATGTTGTCTCAAAACGTTATGTTATGTTATATTTTCTCAGCTTACCTCGGACTTTTATCTGGTTTATTTTTAACAAGCTGAGGTACCTGTCCTTTATCAATGTTATGAACTTAAAAAATATTTAGGTGAATGTTATGATAAATAACACAAAACTCTTAACTTTCACACAATTTATTTATAACATAACATATTACAGTATTCATTATTACCTCACCAAAAGTTTTGTATAAGCTCTAATAAATCAATATGTATATACTTAAAACATGGTATACACTGTGTGATGGTCAGAGTGAGTTTGTAAAAAGAGGTAGCGTAAAATCTAATGGCGGTAGAGGTTCTTTCTGTTACCCGCTTTCATCCCCTACCTCTTAATGTCCTTTCACAGTGTTTCACGTGCTCAATTAATTAACGATAATAGTCACAGGAGTGTTTTACGGGCCGAAGTTGAAAGGTCATGGGTCAAATTAGGAAGTGCATATAACTCAAGAAACGGCTCTCCTATCATCCCTATGGTGGTTGTTGAAGTAGAAACTTCAGCTGAGTTTATATATAAATTCATTAGTGGCGGCTATTTTGGCCATTGCATTTCTCCGTAAAGAGTGCTAGTGCACTGTCTGAGATATATAATACGTTTATGTGCCCTCCACCTACACTGTGTATATGTTGTGCTATAGAAAATTTAATGAAGTTTTTGGCAAGGACGTGGCGCCATCTATGCATGTACTTATCGTTATGTTACGTCAAAGATAATAAATTCTCAATAACAGCAATAATGTTATATGTAAGAGTTGTGAATCCCCCATTAACATGCCCTTGTTCCAGTCTATCATGCCATAAAGTTTGGTTGAGATTGGTCTAGCGATCTAGGAGTAGTTAGATAACGGACAAACATACAAACACACAGATTTGTTTTTGCGCTTTATATATAGATATTGAATTAGTAATTTATTTTGTAAGTTTGAACTGTGAATTCCACCATGAATTCAATCTGATTTTATATTTTTAGTTGTAATTATTGTTCACTTTTATATAGTTAATATTCTATTGAATTTTGTTCAGCTTTATTTTGAACTTTATTGATGTTTTTGACATCTGATTTTATTTTGATTAGTTTCCAGATTTCAGCACTTTATTATATTCTTAGATATTCTAAAATACCTTAACATTTTCTTTTTGAGCCGTATTTTGTTTTAGCGCTTTTTGTGATAAATTGATGCCCATTTTTCTTTAATGTTGTTTTGCTTTGAAGTAGTTATACTGTGTTTTTTGAAGTTTTATGTTACATTCAATTTTTCAACTGTATTTCTTCAATTTATATTATGTTTCTTTAGTTTAGCTTTGCTATTTTAATTTATATTTTACCATGTAGTCTACACATTTTTCTTTCCGTTTTGTGTTACTTTAAAGTTTTCATTTTTATTTTATTTTGTGATTTTAATTACTACATTTCTATTTGTTTACTATTTGTGTTAAATAATCTTATTTTTTGTATTTGTCCAAGTGTATTGTCCCCCAGTGGCACAGTGGTATGTCTGCGGACATACAACGATAGAAACCGGGTTTCGATACCCGTGGTGGCCAGAGCACAGATAGCCCATTGTGTAGCTTTGTGCGTAACTACAAACAAACCAACCAAGTGCGTCATGGTGTCTAAATGTCACCTAAAGAATTGATTCATAAAATTAGGACTGTGCTGTTTAGTTGCATAATTTTAGCCATTTAGCCTTATTTTTCAAAGTTCAGGTGCAGTTATTGTATTGTATTTTATATTTATGGCAAACCTATCATATGTATTTGCTTCTATTCTTAATTCTTTACTGCTCACCAGAGGAAAGGCAGCCAGTCAGCAGTACCCTACCACACACCATCTACTCTAAAGGATTGACTGCCAGTTTTATAACGCACCCACAGATTAAAGTGGGAGAGGGATATTTAATGGTACCACGCGGATTCAAACCCAGCTCATCAGCTCAAAAACCTTAAATTATACTGTTGCGTGACCACGTGACGCAACGTTTCTAGAATTATCATGTACTTTGTCGAATGTT